CTAAAGTGAATCTCCTGTGAGTCTCTGATGAGTCTCAAACCAGCTGTCTCGATCTCCACGCTCACCTCACCATCAACCCGACTGCACTCCACGCGACATGCCTTCTCGAGCCAAGCCACGACCTCGCTACCATTTCCTACCATACAGACTAGTCATAAATCCCCGATAAAAATACGGAGCGGCCTCCGTGGCGCTTAAATCTTCTATGTCAGGGGGCTTCCTCTCTTGCTCTCTCTTCCTCTCTCTCTCAATCTCTTTCTCTCAATTCCTCTCTCTCTCTCCCTCTCGTTCATTCTCTCTCTTTCTCTTAATTCCTCTTTCTCTCTCCCTCTTTTTCTCACTCTCTCTCTTTCTCTCTTTCTCTCAATTTTCTCTATCTCTCTCCCTCTCTTTCTCACACACACTCTCTTTCTCTCAATCTCTCTCTTTCTCTCCATTCTTCTCCTCTCTCTCTCTCTCTCTCTCTCTCTCTCTCTCTCTCTCTCTCTCTCTCTCATGGGAAAAAGGGAAAAGTGGAAGAGAAGAAAACATAGTAGAAATTAGAAAAAAAAAACAGATAGGCAAGAACAGCAACAAAGGAAGAAGAAGAAGAAGGATAAGAGGAGGAGAATGAGAATGACAAGGAAGAGGAGCGACGAGGAGGAAAAAAGAAGAGTAGGAAAAAGGAAAATGACCAGAAAGAAAAGGAGAAAAAGAGAGAAGAAGAAAGAAATGAAATAGAAGGAAAAAGAGGAATCGGAAAAGGAAAACGATGAGAAGGAAACATGAAAATGAAATAAAATAAAAAAGAAAACCAAAAAACAAAAAACACGAAAAGGCGGAAGAAGAAGAAGACGAGAAAGAAGAAAACCAAAAAAAACGAGAAAAACAACAAGGAAGAAGAGGAAGAAGAAGAAAACCAAAAAAACGAAAAAAAAACAAGGAAGAAGAGGAAGAAGAAGACCAAAAAAACGAGAAAAAAAACAAGGAAGAAGAGGAAGAGAAGAAGAACAAAAAAAACGAGAAAAAAACACAAGGAAGAGGAGGAAGAAGACCAAAAAACGAGAAAAAAAACCCAAAGAAGACGAGAAGAAGAAAACCTAAAAACGAGAAAAAAAAAAGAAGAAGAAGAGAAGAAACCCCCCAAAACGAAAAAAGAACAAGGAAGAAGAGGAAGAAATAACCCCCCAAAAACGAGAAAAAAAACAAGGAAGAAGAGGAAGAAGAAACCCCCAATTAACGAGAAAAAAAACAAAGAAGAAGAGGAAAGAAGAAGACCCAAAAAAAACGAGAAAAAACAAGAAGAAGAGGAAGAAGAAAAACCCTAAAAAAAAACGAAAAAAACAGGGAAGAAGAGAAAGAAAAAAAAACCCAAAAAACGAGAAAAAAACAAGGAAGAAGACCAAAAAACCGAGAAAAAAAAAAGCAAGGAAGAAGACGAGAAAGAAAAAAACCTAAAAAACGAGAAAAAAACAAAGAAGAGAGGAAGAAGAAAACCTAAATAAACGAGGAAAAAGAACAAGGAAGCGGAGGAGGGGCGTGGCAGAAGCTCCACTTGATGTGTACCGCCGAGGAGAACGCCCCCGTTATCTCGGTCTCGCAGCCACGCTCCCTCTACGCCCATGCTGATCAAAGCTAATGCCACCTGCTAAGCCGTTTGAGATGGGCGCGGGCGGGGGAGGGATGGGCGGGAGGCGGGGAGGGCTGGTGGGCCGGGGGGAATGGGTAGTGGGCGGTGGGGGAGGGTTGTGGGCGGGAGGGAGGGGAGAGAGGGCAAAAGGGGTGGAGGGGCTGGTAGGCGGGAGGAGGGGGGGGGAGAGACCAAAAGGGGGAGGGGGAAGAGGCCAAGAGGGGGTGGTAGGAGGGGGCGGGGGAGAGGGAGGCGGTATGGGAAGGGGGTTGAGATGGGGGTGGGGTTGGGGAGGGGAGGGAGGGGTAGGGAGGGTATGGGTAGGGTGTTGACGAACAGTGGGGGTCGTGATGGGGGGTGGGAAGTGGGGAGGGGTGGGGGGGCGGGTTTAAGTTGGGTGTTGACGAACAGTGGGGGTCGAGATGGGGTGGGGTGGGTGGGGGAGGAGGGAGGGGGGGTGTCGGATGAGGGTAATTAGCTTTTGATGCTTTTCAGAAAGTACTGACGTGGATATGCTACTTCGCGTCTCCTTTGCTTGCTGGTTATGGAAGCATACGCAGACACTACTTATACACACACACACACACACACACTCACTCACAGACCACACACACACACACACACACACACACACACACACACACACCACACACACACACACACACACACACACACACACACACACTCACTCACTCATTCACACACCACACACACAACACACACACACACACACCACACACAACACACGCATACACACACACACACTCACACACACACACACAACACACACACACACACACATACATACTTCCACGACGCATATCTATCTATCTATCTATCTATCGCTCTATCTATCTGTCTATATATGAATCCTTGATTACGTAAGTCACTATACATCTGGTGATATCAAAACATTTATTTGACAATTATGCTTAATTATATCTTTACTTGAGATCAGCCTCACAACTTATTGACATTTCTAATAATAAATTACTTACTCTGATTCATGTTCGTCGGTAGGTTGCCAAGTAACCATTTTTAATAGATTAATGCTATGGATAAATGGTTAATTTAACCTTTTTCTTTATTTAATAACAGATTAATTGAGTGCTTAAAGTTTTTGATGGCTGGTATGCTAAACCAACAAAACCTGGATTTAATGTCTGTCTTTGGAAATATGGTAGTAACTGCTTAATTAAATGGATTAAATGTTTAATTTGACTTAATGTTTTGATTGATGAGTAATACTGATGATATTTTACTTTATAAAAAATTTCATTTCAAGCCTTTACTAAAGTCTTTCCGAAAATATGTCACTTCAATTTTCATTTTTTACGTTAATTTCTATACGCTCCTCAATTTACAAAAAAAAAAAAAAAAAAAAAAAAAAAAAAAAAAAAATTAAAGTGACACAAAATTAATGAGCAACAGTAGATTAAATTCCTTCCGTCCGATACACGTTACAAAAAGAAGATATATTATATCTTTCCAACATAACACTTTGGCGTCAATTTCCACTTTAAAAGTACCCGCTGCAACCGGTTTACACCCTCCGGCTTAAACCCACGAAACACGGTTTATTCATTGATTTTATTGAGTTAAGGTGGTCACAATATCACTTTTTCCGACATTTTTTTTTTTTTTTTTTTTTTTTTACAATTATCTGAAATTTTGTCAATTTTTGAGCGAATTGTCGATTTTCCAGTCAGAGGATAATGATCGTTTCCGTCTGAAAACCTTTCCGTCAACTTTTTTCAGCCAAGCAAAGTCAAATCAAGAGCTAAATTCGAGAATGCATGTATTTATGTTAAATAAAATTGTCAAAAAAATAACAATGACGCACGAACTACATAAGAAAAACCCATATCAAAATAAGAGAAAAAAACACAATTCCCAATCAAAATCAGATTTTATCCCGAGACAATGGCGGACAGGATCTCGGGAGCGCCCACAGAAAAACTGAAAACCAGCTGACAGGCGAAACTCTGGTTGGATAATCTTTAAAACAACCCCTAGTCATCCTACAGATCACATCCTATAAATATAAACACAAATGAAGATCAAACTTACAATTTATCCTCCCCAAAATCTGGTAATAATTGCCGAGTAAAAAAACATTACCTGAAGACCAAGATGATCGTAACTGTACTCCTCTAATCTAGTTCAAGCCTAAAAACTATAGACTCATTTTCGATATTTCAAGTTTTTTTTTCGAAAATTCTCGAAACTTCTAGCTCATATTTGTTCTTGACGGGGCTTCCTGGTCAGATAGCATGGTCTGGTTTCGTAACTAAACGGATCATTTTCAAAATACACCATGATGACGTCACAATTGTAAACAAACCGATAAAATGGCCGACAGAAATTGGTGAAAACGAGGAAATTCTCTTGATAATTTACCAATTTTGTCGCCAATAGATAATGTTATCAACTAGCAAGTTGCTAGCATATGTGTGCCGAATAGAAGTATTAACAGAAGTATATTAATGGCTTTATTATTCACTAGGAGAAAAGTGAGGCTATTTATAACTGTATTATGGCATTCCGGGAAGTTCCGAGTGCGTTTTTATTTACCTTTGTTATTTCCATATAAACTTTGCTACGGATAGTAGGTATTATTCTTTTAGAGTGTTGTTCTAAAGGGAGTGGGCGATTTTTTTTATAAGTTAATAATAGCGTTTGTGCTACGCAATATTTAAATATTTTTCTTGAAATCCTTATTTACTTTATTTGCTTCAGTTAATACAAAACAAAGGAAGAGAAAGAGGCAGACAGTCAGACACGAAGAGAGAGAGAGAGAGAGAGAGAGGAGAGAGAAAGACATAGACAGACAGACAGTCAGTCACGAAGAGAGAGAGAGAGAGAGAGAGAGAAAGACATAGACAGACAGACAGTCAGTCACGAAAAGAGAGAGAGAGAGAGAGAGAGAGAGAGAGAGACAGACAGACAGACAGACAGAGAGTCAGATAGAGAGTCAGACACGAAGAGAGAGAGAGAGAGAGAGAGAGAGACAGACAGAGACAGAGAGACAGATAGAGAGTCAGACACGAAGAGAGAGAGAGAGAGAGAGACAGAGAAGAGACAGATAGACAGTCATACACGAAGAGAGATAGAGAGAGAAAGACATAGACAGACAGACAGTCAGACGCGATAAGAGAAAGAGAGAGAGAGAGAGAGAGAGAGAGAAGAGAATAGAGAAAAGAGAAATAACAGCTCCCCCAAAAGAATTTTACATCCGGGCAGTTTCCCCGCTGGAGAACGGAACCGCTCGCACCTCCGCCGCGTTTTATTGTCGACCGTCTGTGAGTTTACTTGTTGAGCCGTGCGCTTACGAACGTAACTTTGGCGATTGCAAACTTCGATATTACGAGTCCCGGAGAAGGGTACGAGC